TCTCTTTATTTCTCAGAAAGGAGACAAGTAGTATTAATGAAACCTTAAGTTATGAATTCTTCTCTAGTTTTACCGATTGTTATTTTACATCTCAAGTTTGAAATTTTTTCCTGGTTTTACTGAATGTTAATGTATTAGACTGATGTTAACTGTTCTGTGGCAGGTGTGAGAACTGTGGCTGTCAGAGGCCGGACACCGAGGCTTGTCGCTGCTCAGCCTCCACAGCTAACTTTCTCAGTCCCCTCAGCATCATCGGCCAATCGCCTGACTCCGGTATTGAGTTTGACCGGTGGACGCCTGCGCCAGGGGAATGAGACAACGCGCAGGGAAGCGCCCGGGACTCCTCGCACTACCACTTTTAACTCGGGAGCTGGCCTCCCGCGGAGCTCGAGCTAGGTCTCAGGCTTCCCTGCCGAATCATCTAGTCTTAGTTGTTGCCATATCTTCCACATTCCCTCTGTGTCTCGATCTCAGTATTCAGCCTCCGTAGGTTCCGCCGGTCGGGAAAGAGGTTCCCGTGGGATGCTTTTACATCGACTAAACGGTTTAGGTAGTCTGTCGCCGACAGATAGTCTTTTAAATGTCTATTTTGATGTTGAGTGTCGATCGACCGAGGTGATGTCGCCATCCTCGCGGTGTTGCATGCTCCGTACAACGTAGGTAGAATTGCTCAATACACGTAGCGTAGCGTTAGACGTAGCCACTCGTTGTTGTATCCTAGTTGTCCCACGGTAAGCGTAAGACAAAGGTTTGATATCGGAAATACGATTGCTCACCTCGACTTGCTGTTAATTGTAGCTAAATGTTGATGAGCTAACTTAGTTTTGTGCACAAAAACTAATGTTCTAAGTTAGTAAGCTGAACTTGTGATAGTTGTACATAGCCACAAATCGATGTTTAATTGTTGTTGTTCATATTCTACTTTACACTTTTTACAAATATTTTTTACTACTCTCAATTAGCTTACTGCAGAATACACTTTAAGACTAAATTTATTTTTTCTTATTTTCCAATTTTTTTACATCAATGTTGTGTTTTTGTGTTGTAAATTGATAACATTTTGTCTATTGATAGTAAGATGGATCACGGTTGTAAAAGTGAGTAAGAATTCTAAAAATTTCATCATTGTGTAATGTAATACTTATTTTATGTTAAGATTGATTAGAAAATTAACCTTTAACAAAAGTAATGCTCTTGAAATGTAAAATTTTGATGTAAATTTCTTTGGAAAAAATATTGATAGTCCGATCTGGACCAATCGGTGTTGAATTTACTTGCAAACATAAAAATGATTGAACTATAATTTAATCAACAACTAAACCATTTTTGTTCTTGGGTATTAGTTTTCATTCAATTATGTTATGACCGCTAATAGCCAAATAGAACAGATCAAAGGGAATTCATTGCAAAGTAAGATTTTAAAACTGGCTCTGTGTTTAAGAATCCGTTTGTTAAAATTTTGATCACCTAAGCACAATATTTTTTATGTTTACTCAGTAGATTTAATTATAAACGTTGTCATGAGAATAATGACACACTTCACTTGCAAGTAAGACTGGGACGATGGTGACATTACCAACAAAATGTGCTTCTTATATACTCGAGTCTAAAGTTCAAATCTATCATTCGTTTTTTTATACTTTGTAGTGAATTTTACACCTAGGTTTTGCTATGGTCATGAGAGCGTATTCCTCTGGTAATTTGATATTTTACTAAATGAATCGTTACCCCAACTACTTAATTAGACTACATGAGTCTGAACTCATTAGGATGTAAGTAAATGTGCTTTAATGAAAACTTAGGCTTTAACAGATTACTGTATAGTTGTTGTATGAGGCGTTCCTCTTGTTCTTTGGTGACTTATGTCTTAATGTTGGTCTTGGTATTCCATGTCTGGTAATTTATAACCAGGTTATATTCCAGGTTTGGCTAATTGTTTCCTAAGGAATTATAATTTAATTTCGGGAAATAAATCGTGATCTTTTAAACAATTTTGCTTTGTAAATGAATTTTTTTGATACGTATTCCATATTCCAGCTCAACTCAAAGTTTACTTGAGCCATTTTTATTGTAAATAATGTTTGGATCATTTTAATACAACTCTACAAAATGGTTTATTCTTTTATGTTGTTTGCCTTATTCATTAACTACATTTTCATCTATTTCTAGTTATGTACATTTATTACTTTTATTAGGGCCTGAATGATTTTTCCTTTATAATTAAAACATAAAACAATTTACAATTTGCATGTTGTGTTTTAGTTTTAATATTGCTTTTTTGAGATGTTAAACACAATTGTTGACTTGGAAAACCCAGAATGAAATCAATGTTTAGACATGAGTTAGCATAGAACTCTTATTTTTTGTTGTATAGTTGATTTTTTATTAACGTTTAAACATTTTTCATATTTATACTTAATTTGTAAATTGTTAGAATATTTATGACATTGTTCCCTTTTAAACTGTTTCTAATAATTTAATCGATGATTTGAAACTTGTTATGTGAAGATGTTTTTTGTTAATTCTACAATATAAGACTTATATAATGATGTTATACTTCTATATCTTTGACAAATTACTATTGTTGTTACATTAAAAATGGCAGACTGATAAGTATATGCAGTTGATAAGTAAGTAGTGTACATTACTCTTTATTGTACCAGGTTGGAAGTTTTAGCAATGTAAAGATACTTTATTGATTGACTTAAGAACCACAATGGTGTTCTTGTCTTATTTTAAACACATGGTGTGAAATAAAGGATTATGATTAATTAGTTAAAATAGCTTCAAAGAGAACTGGCTTTTGGAAACTGTTTAAAGTTTTTACTTCTTGCATGCTCTCGTGTTATCAATTGTGTTGTAGGCTGCAAACAACGTTACCAATCTGTCTTTTTTTTTATAATAACAAGCTTGTGTTTTCCAAGACTACCCTTGAACTAAGTTTTATAGTTCTTATTTACAGTCATTTTGATGAAAACTGTTCCTAAATTCATCACTGGAAGAAAAATGGTTTAGATTTTGCAATTTGTTACAAAAAAAAACCAAGATTTTATAATAATTATTTAGGTTGTATTTTATTGGTATTTTACACTATAAAAAGGTTATCTAATTAAAAATGCAGGTGAAACTGAGAATTACTCTTTTCAGGAGGTTGATACGTAAGACAAGATAACATTGTGGTTGTTAATTCGTCAAATCTTGTACATAAACCGCTGCCATTGTTGAACAAAATAGCAACTAACGTGGTATATTTATGTCGTAAGCTTGCACCGTGTTTTGATGTCAGCAATGTCTCACTTGATTCCAATCTTTGTGCCATTTTTATTGAGTGCCTATTCCATTAGTTTTGGTATCGACTGCAGTGACAATATTGTATTTGACGAAGTTTTACAAACCTGAGTTACAAACAGGATTGTCATTGCGGATGAGATGTATTGAAGAAATCCATCCTGAATTATTTCCTGCCAGGTTCAATAACGTTACCACTTTCCAAGTGACATGTAAATTATACTACCTATGTATATTTTATCTTCCATACGTGTAACGCTGTTCTGTATATCAACTGTTTGTATTTATATTTCTTGTAGACCTGAGTTGCATACTTGGTTATGCTAATAACATGTACTAAACAAAACCAAAACATGTATATTATTTCAACCTCAAAACTGTTAGGCCCCCTTCTCACTAGGTCAATGTGACCAAGAAGTGACCTATGTTGTTTTATCCACCGTCACTAAAAAATGACTGCAATTTTTGTTTGGGTTTTGCATTACAGTACTGTTGGGCTGCTAGTCAAATATGGCACCTACTAGTGACGAGGAGTTATTGTTTATGTTGCTAATTAAAAGAAATATATGAAACTGCTAAACTTTCTACTTTTGTGTAAAATTTAAAATTTCAACCCAGTCGGTTCATTAGTTTTTCCTAAATACCAGACACAAAGAATTACGTCTGATAGATGATACATGTGTTTACAGATGAAATATTGAAAGACCATTTGATCCTTTGTAAAATCCTACCACAAGTGCATTGCCTTGGGAAAATAATGTGTTTGAAACCTGCTGAACTTACAACATGATCAGTCTATAAAGCCACTCACTGGCTTAAACATGTTAAGATTTTGAAGCCCTGAGATGTTAAGAGGGTGATATAGGTTAAAGACTAACAACATAGATAGTACGCTTTTTAAAAAGTTTTAATTCCAAAATACGAAACATAAACTGAACATTAATGAGTTGCTGTAGTAAAATATTTCAAGCAAGTTGATCAGTTTGTAAAAACATAGTGACTATCTTACATTACGTGCCAAAAGTAGATCTAGAAGACTATAAAAGCCATGTGGTTCTTAACACCTAGAGTGGATCTGTACAGTAAAAGAGGGGGAGTAAGACACCGCTTGAAGACTTCATTATGAACAACTAGACAAAATATTTACCTACTGTTAACAAACTTTTGTGCTTAAACATTTTTACATCAAAACCGAACAGTTATTTTGTTTACTGAGAAAGACAATGAAAATATTACTTAATTCTTACCAATGAGAATTTTATATAGGTAAATAAATACATAAATAAATAAGTTAAAGCATATTTCACCTTTCAGTAAATAAACAGTCTCAAAACTTAAAGCAGAAAAAGTAAATTAAACTTCCACAAAAATAAATTAAATTTCTAGCCACGAAAGGGAGTAAAAAATATATATCAACAACTGTACATCTTATTAAAAATAAATGTGGCTCCTACCATGAAATTTGGCAGCACTCGATTAACAACCATTAATAAAAACCATCAATCACTGCATTAGAAGGATCAAAACAATCAAATTCAACTGAAATAACAGTAATAACCACATCACAAACACAATAAAACAACAGCTAAGGAGAAAAACGGACGGACAAACGAAAATAACAATACAGCAAATTTACATATACTAGCACATCAGTCTGAAACGAGAGTGAACATATGCACACGTACAACACACTAGCTATAAAACTAAACATATCGAGATCAAATTCTTTATTAAAGAAATAGACAAAACACTGAACAGTGCAAAACATCAAATCACACAAAACGTCCATTACAGGAGACCATATAAAGCATTAAAACAGTGTGATTACGGTAAAAACCGTTAATAAATTAAGTTGTATAATCGTTATAAAATAAACAGAAGATTTCTAGTTAGAACTGCCAATTGTTGTCATGGCACATCTACGTAGGACAAGCGGCGTGGTGGACTAGAAGGTGGGGCAGGTGGTAGGGGCCGGTTAGCTGAGCTTGATGCGTTTGGCTGATGGAAGATGTTGCTCCAGACCTAAGTAACTCTCATCTCCATTACAAGACGCCAGTGAGTCGAGTGGGTAGTCTAGCATGCTGGAGCCGCCACACTTCTGCGACAATACACGAGTCACTTTAGGAATACACAGGGGAAGCAATAATGGATACACAACTAACCTGTCCAAGAAAAGTTCCAGCCCTTTACAGTACACCAAAGAGTTAACTTGACAACATAATTAATTTAATAATGCCCCTCTTTAAAGAGGTTAATTTAGAAGGAAATAAATAAATAGTAGAGTGACAGAACATTGTTTTACTACTTCTTTCTGCAGAAGCCCCCTTTATAGAGGTGAAATATAAAATAAAATGTGTTGTGAACGTTTTTGGTGTAGGCCTACTCTAAAATGCCCTTGGACCAGTTTCTTCTTCCCTCATCTAAACCATTGCTTTTCATCAATATATCTTAGTTTCAATATGTATACAGATTTACCTAAACTTTTAGAAATGGTCAGATTTCAGCAGTAACATTTCTTCAGTTGCAATTGTTTGCTAATGCTTCTGTGACAGTAATTATTTAACACCACAAAAAATAAGGGATTTTTGTAAATATCGATAAGAATCTGTTAATATCTGCAGGAAAATGTATTTAACACCAACATTTAGAGACATATCTGGATGCTGGTAGTTAAATGACATTATTCAGAGACCAAACTCAGTATATAGGATCAAAGACTAAAAAGTGTCTTGTCCCAAAGAGGAATCATTGTGTAAGAAAATATATTCACAGTTAATAACCCAGTGGCAAACTCTGTTTCGTAAAAAAAATCCTAGATTCTTAAATACAAATTTTCTAATTTCTAACTTTCCTTATTTTTTTGATGTGGTTTTGACTCATTTGAGGAAAAAAGCTATACTACTACCAACACATTTTTATGTTTTTAAAAATGTTACACAATAAAATAAACAGATATTCATAATAAATAATTACAGAATCAATGTTATGGCTAAGTCTTTAATCCCCAAACAATGCATTCAAAGCTGCTGATGATAGAATTAGGGATGGTCGGGATTGAATTTTTAGTTTGGGAAGGGATTTTTATTTCCTTCCCAATTTTCGGGACGGGATTTTTTCCTGTGAATAAAAAGAAAGTCTTGAGTAATGCAGTTACCAAAAATGAAAATCAATTTTTACCGTTGTGGCAGTGATCTATAAAAACAAAAAATGGGTAACAATTTACAGGTACCAATTGAAACTTGTGACTCACGGTCGAAATGATTTGCGGTCACGTTGCGATCGTCAAAATGACTCGTGGTCGCGGCATGATCGTCGGTATGAGTCCGCGATCACGGCATGATCGTCAGTATGACTCACGGTCACGGCGTGATCGTCGGTATGAGTCCGCGATCGTCAGTATGACTCTGTGGTCACGGCATGCTCGTCGGTATGACTCACGGTCACGGCATGATCGTCGGTATGACTCACGGTCAAGGCATGATCGTCGGTATGACTCACGGTCACGGCGTGATCGTCGGTATGAGTCCGCAATCACGGCGCGATCGTCAGTATGACTCTGCGTAGTCAAGGGGTGATCGTCGGTATGACTCGTGGTCACGACATGGTCGTCGGTATGAATCCGCGGTCACGGCACGAACGAAGGTATGACTCCGTGGTCACGGGGTGATTGTCGGTATGACTCACGATCACGGCATGATCGTCGGTATGAAACATGATCGTCGGTATGAGTCTGCGATCACGGCGTGATCGTCAGTATGACTCTGTGGTCACGACATGGTCGTCGGTATGAATCCGCGGTCACGGCGCGATCGTCGGTATGACTCTGCGGTCACGTCGCAATCGTCGGTATGACTCTGCGGTCACGGCGCGATCGTCGGTATGACTCTGCGGTCACGGCGGTATCGTCGGTATGACTCTGCGGTCACGGCGCGATCGTCGGTATGACTCTGCGGTCACGGCGGGATCGTCGGTATGATTCCGCGGTCACGGGGTGATCGTCGGTATGACTCACGATCACACAGCAAGGTCGTCGGTATGACTCCACGGTCACGGCGCGATCGTCGGTATGAATCTGCAGCCACGGGGTGATCGTCGGTATGAATCCGCGGTCACGGCGCGATCGTCTTTATGTCTCCACGGTCACGGGGTGATCGTCGGTATGACTCCGCGGTCACGGGGTGATCGTCGGTATGACTCCGCGGTCACGGGGTGATCGTCGGTATGACTCGCGGTCACGGCGCGATCGTTGGTATGACTCCACGGTCACGGCGCGATCGTCGAAATGACTTCGCTTCCTGCATTCCCGGAACTATCGTGAACATCTCTAGCGATAGCGGCGTCTTCGTCACTCGCGAAGCGGCAAAATCGCCGACGATCGTACCAAATCCCGTCCAGAAAAATTCCCAAATAAAATGTAATCCCGTCCCGAAAATCGGGAATATTTTCCCCCGAATATTTCCCGAAATTTCGGGACCCGTCCATCCCTAGGTAGAATATTATACATCAAAATATGCAATAGTTGCAACGATTCGTTCACTCACCTCGCCCATGACAGCAATGGGAGTCTCTCCAGTCGCCAAGGCCACTTGATGCTCAATGAGATAGAACATGTACTCATCATAGAGCAGCCGGATCAGATGGAACGAGCCAAAGCTTGCGGCAGACCTCAGGGTTAGGTCTCGAATCACCATCGAACTATAAATAGAAAGAGATTGTAGAGTAAGATTTATAACATGAAAAAGAAAAGGTTTTTACAACTACTGACAGATTACATGAAAATAATATATTTTAAGACAGATTCAAAAGTAAAACCCAGGTGAAACTGAAATTAAAATTCATAAAAATAAGGAAATGACACATCAAATTGGAGTAAACCTCAACATCATGATATTTGCTTTAGAACTTCCAAATCGGGGACCAAACAAGGTTTTTTACAATGACAAATTAAGATCATTGTCCATTGTGAAGTAAAAAGAACCTCACCGCAATAGATAATCACGGTTATTTCTGCAATTACGGAAGACAATTGCAGTGTTGACGTTTTGCAGGAGCGATATCTGTCAATTTGGCATTTACAGTCATAAAAATACATTGTTTTAATTTCTAAGCAACTTTACTGAATTTCAGGCTTATCCAAACAATTATGTAATCCAATTCAATTCAATCATTTATTTTCACATAACGTTTACAAATCCAGCATAGCTGGGAAACAGGTGAAATGGTCATATACATAAAATACATAAAACTATAATAACTACAAAATCAAATAAATACATCACCTAAAAAATCATTTACTTTATAATACGCTCTGTCAACCAGCAATTTGGCAACTTCTTTCTTTCAAACGATTCTAGTGATTTAATATTTTCAGGCAGTTTATTGTACAATTTTTTCCCTAGATATTGTGGAAGGGTTTCAAGTGAGGTAAGTCTGTGAATGGGCAGTTGTAAATCGTTTTGGTGTCGTGTTAAATAATTATGTGTATGGTTTTCATTCATAAAAGATCCAAGGTTTTTTTTATCAAGATTAATGTTTGCAGGATATAAACTGACGGAAGCGTTAATATTTTAAACTCTCTAAATAATAGTTTACAGGATCGTCTGGGTTTTGAAAATGTCATAATTCTAAGGATCCTTTTTTGAATTTTAAAAATGGTCACGGCATTTGAGCAGTTGCCCCAGAACTCAATTCCATACATCATGTTTGACACAAACAAAGCATAATAAACAATCATCCTTGTCTTGAGGCCAGTAACATGCTGCAGGACAGACATCTGGAAACAGACTGTGTTAAGTTTATTAGCTAGAATTGATGTATATTTATCCCAATTTAATGTATTTTGTACCTGGATACCTAAAAATTTAGCAGATGAGGTTTCATTAATAATTTCTCCCTGAATATTAATATTTAATTCAATGTTTTCTCTATCATAAGTAGTTTTGAACCTAATAACTTGAGTTTTAGAACAATTAAGACTAAGTCCATTTGCTGTGAACCATTTGTTTAGATCCTCAAAAGTTTGGTTTATCAAATTTTGTAAATTGTTAGGGCTGTTTGATTTTAATATAGCTGTTATATCATCAGCATATAGAACAAGCTTTGAGTTTAAATTAAAAGGCAGGTCATTAATATAGATTAAAAACAACAAAGGTCCTAAGATAGAGCCCTGAGGTACACCACAATAGCTCATATTCCATTTCAAAAAGTTATAGATATTATCTTTAAAAATAATAGTTCTTTGAAAGCGGTTCGAAAGATAGGATTTTAACAACTTCAAAGCAAGTGGAGAGAAATTGTAAAATTTAAGCTTAGAAAATAAAATTTTATGTACAACACAGTCAAAGGCTTTTGACAAGTCACAAAACATTCCAGCAACATTTTGAGACTTATCAATGCCACAGCCGACCTCCCACAAGAAGTCAGACAGAGCCTGAGTTGTACTACGTCCTGATCTAAAACCATATTGTTCTTTCACAAAAATGTTGTTGCTTTCAAAAAAAGATGATATTTGGTCGCTAATAACTTTTCAAATACTTTCGAGAAAGCTGGTAAAATTGAAATGGGGGACGGTAGTTGTCAGAATTTGACTTACTGCCATTCTTAAAAAGTGGTTTAATTTCAGCGAATTTTAGTTGATAAGGAAAAATTCCACTCTGTAAACATTGGTTTATTATGACGCTTAATGGACCCGATATAACATTGTTGGTTTTTTTTATTAGCGTTACAGGGATTTCATCCCAACCGGCTGACATTTTATTTTTTAGGGAACAAATTACTTTAGATACTTTTTCTTTTGAAATTGGTGAAAAATCAAAAATAGGTATATTATGATTGAGGTTAAAATTTCTTAACAGTACATGAGCATTGAAAAGGTTAAAGTTAGCAGAATTTGATTTTGCAATGTCAGCAAATTTGTTATTAAAGTGTTCAGCTATTTCTTTACCATTATTGATCAATTGATTATTAAGTTCAATATTGGGCAAACTATATTTCTTTCTGCCCAATCCTAGTTCTGAATTTACAACTGCCCAGACAGCCTTACTTTTATCAACCGAAGTTTGAATGTAGTTACTGAGAGAACGCTTCTTAGATAGTCTGCACACCGATTTAAATATATTTTTATACATCTTACAATATTGAATAAATTGCTGGTTATTAGAAATTTTAGCCAACTTGCTTAGTTCTCTTTTCCTGGCACTAGATATTCTAATTCCTTGAGTGATCCACCCTTTTGCTTTTACACCATTGTTAGAATTTTGTTTAATACTTTTTACTGGAAAGCTCTGTTGGAAAATTAACTTGTAATTGCTTAAGAAATTGTCAAAATCTTGTTGAACATTGTTACTTGTATATACAATATACAATCCAAACATGGAACTAATTACTGATTTGTTTAGATTAGCAGTAGGCTACTCTACTTCTACATCTTGACAAACACTAGGTATATTCACCTGTAGAACGACCACTTGAGCAGGAACTGTCGGGCAGCCTTGGTGAAGTTAGGTTTGCCCTGGTACGGCTTCAGCACCGTGCTGACTACATTCTTCAGCCAACTGGCCCACTCTTCTAGGGAGTTCTGCTGCTGAAGTGTCACCTTGAAGTCAGCCTCCAGCCTCTGTACCAGCATACCGTCACACTGGCAGACCCATGATGCCTGGCAACAGAGATGTAGTTGAGACAAATGAGCTTGGTGTGTGCAATTAGTCTGAACAGATTACTAATAAACGGATGTACACTGAATACGTCTTACAAAATACAAAACTTAAAATTTAAGGTTGATTTTACCTGTGCTTCAGTCAATTGATCCTAAATTTAGTGTCTACAGCTGTTTTGTACCAAAAGAAAGGAGTACATCCTTTGGACCAAAAACACATATTTTATGAAGCTAGTCTATCGAAAGTAAGGTTGTTATTAGGGTTTGGAACACGGCACATAATGAATAAACATGGAGATTGCTTGAAAAATATTTATGCATATTTAACAGCTAGCATAGCAAAATACAAAAAAAATTTGATGCAGTATCAAAACAGAGGGTGAGTCAAGACTAGGTAAAATAAACCCTACTTTTTCTTATTTTAACAATCCTGAGACTTTTTACAACCGGGCATCTGTAAAAGGGACAGTAGCGATAAGTAAATAGTAAAATGGATCAAACAAGCTGGATAACCATGATAGGATTCAGATTCAAACCCTCAATCTACATTGTATAGAGCAGTTTGATAGTAGTAGTAGACTTTGATAATCACAAATCGGCTTGGCTTTAATTCTGACATAATTTTTTACATAGAAATTGATAGATGCAAAATGTTTCAAGTCAATTAGTCGTTGTGTGCATAAATATATTCAGAGTCTGGAACACAGAAAATTTGTGCATTAAGTACAGAAAAAGTAGCTACTGATAATCCAACTTAATTTCATTGGACTAGGTTTTGCATGAAAAGATGTGTATACCCGAGTGTTTATGCACGCAACAACAATGGTTTTGTTGTTGTGACTTGCTCTGTGCCCACCTGTTCCTGTACGTTGTGAAAGTCTACACGGTTGAGGTCAGCAAGCATCTGGTTGATCTGTGTGGAGTTCTGTAGCACGGCTCGCGCAGCCTGCGCCAGATGGTTCAGTGACGTGTAGCGGCGCAGAGTCTGGGCAAACGCTGCCACTGCATTCACCTATAGGCAAACATCGCTCAATGTTAGCTTTAGGAATATTTGAAAAAAAGCCAATAGACTGAAAGGCTGATAAGGATTATTTTGAAAGGTATAAATTTCAGCTAGCTTTCCTAAGAACAGGTGCTAATAGGACACAAAAATACGTTTGGATTTTGACCCTTTGCTTAACAAACAAAGCAATAAGTCCATTCCCAAATAAATACCAATGATCAGTTCCCTACTGAAAGGGTAGGAGTTATCCTACCATTAAATTACTAGAGACTACAGATATCCGCCAAAACTCAGTAAAAGAAATAACCAAACCTCTTCCTTCAGCTAGCTTTTATGACAATTTTCCTTAAAGTATTACTGTACAGAGCCATCCTTAGCAAATACGAGTACTTGAAAGTTTACCTTGTTACTAGTAAAAAGTTTTTTTACGTAGGCTACATAATTTTTTTACCCCTCTGGGTAGGAAGATCAAATATAGCGAGGAAGGCCTGGAGAAGAATGGTGAAGAACAAAAGAGAAAAGAGATTAAGAATAAGACTTGGAACACAGTACCTTGATATTGACCATATCTTGGGGACATCCAACCATGGCAGCGTTGAGACCAGATTCAAGACCTTTGGCAAAGTTACGAATGGCTTGGGTTAAGGAACCTGAAAAATTGTAAGACAAAACAGTTTATTATTCTTGTAAAAATAAAAGAGTTATTGTAATATCAGATTTTTCTAATTAATTTGATATTACTTGTTGAAGAAAGTATTTTGTATTGAAATCCTACGCAGGAACATTTTAAATAATAATAAATAAAAAAAAAACATTACATGCTTTATGCTCTGGAGTTTAAGAAATATGATTGTAACTACTAAATCAATACATATAAAATTTCTCAATACTCACTAGGTATTGGCCTGAGCACGTCAGGAATGAGCACTTCGACTAGATTTTGGTAAAAATGGTAATCCACCCTCCGCACAAACTGCTGTATGTACGAACACTTGCTGAGGAGATACAGCTTGGTTCTGGAACAAACCATAGATTGTAAAATTAATCATCAAACATATGAAACTAAATTTGTAGTAAAAGCCAAAGTTATTGAAAAATGATAGATATGGTACTGGAACAATACCCAAAAAAACTTCAGTAAAACTCCATATATCGATACAAAAACAAATTCATCGGGATATTTGACCTTACTGTTGTATACTGGGTGTTCTTATTGAGGTTCAACTGTTGGAACCTTGATAACAAGCCACTCTACTCTTGATACAAACAAACAAACAACTCATAACATAGCCTGATACTCTTGACATAACAAATACTAAGATTTTATATTGATCTTAATTACACGTTATTATGAACCTCTATAAGAAGTCAACCTTGATTTCAAGTCATATTTGATAATTCCTATGAGATACTTCCTATCAAGGTTCTATTAATAAAACAGAAGGTGGTGATATTGTTAGTAATGGCAGTGAGTGTCATATGACTCTCTGTATCATATGATTTTATTAATGAATGCTAAACAAAATACTTCTGGCGTAGTTGGAAAAATATACGTTCACTCACTTAGACAAGTACTTCTCTTCTTCACACTCGTCTCCATTGTTGTTATCTTGCGATCGCCAAAACTCTCGCCACAGAGACTCAATCGTAACAAACTCCAAGTTCATGATAGCGTCTAAGAAGGCCTGCAAAGTACGTTCATTATTGTTAAACCTGGATTATTTAAGCAGGGTGTCTACCAGGCCAACCAGAAAAAAATCATGAGTAATTCATGAGTAAAAAAAAAATCCAGGTAGTTCAATTCGTACTTTTTATACTAAAATTTCCAACGTGTCTTGTACCAACTCTCGCAATGCTGTTTTAGCGCTAACACAGCTCACTATTTTAGTTAACTCGGTTTAGTGTATCGGAAAGAGCATTCACAGTTAAAGAAATAAAATTTATGATTACTGTAATATTAATTGCCTGACACAAGTATTCAATTTTTATATATTACTAATTAAATAATCCGAAAGTTAAAACTAATCCTTAAACCTGCAATTTATCAATAACGTCTTAAAAATAGTGCTATGTCAATACCATCTAACACTGTCATAGAGACACCATCATCGTTTTCTACGATAACTAAAAAATTCTAAATACATCTCACTCAGTAACAGAAACATCACCACTGTCTTTCGTGGTCGTGACAAATTTCTGATATTTTTCAGAGGTAATGGAAACATTATAATCCTCTTCCGCGGTCACGGAAACGTCATCGTCGTCTCCCTTGGTCACGACAACGTCATCGTCGTCTCTCTCGGTCACGAAAACGTCATCGTCGTCTCCCGCGGTCACGAAACGACATCGCCGTCACCCGCGGTCACGGAAACGTCATCGTCTGCTCCCGCGGTCACGGAAACGTCATCGTCTGCTCCCGCGGTCACTGAAACGTCATCGTCGTCTCCCGCGGTCACGGAAACGTCATCGTCTGCTCCCGCGGTCACTGAAACGTCATCGTCGTCTCCCGCGGTCACGGAAACGTCATCGTCGTCTCCCACTGTCACGGAAGCGTCATCGTCGTCTCCCGCGGTCACGGAAACGTCATCGTCGTCTCCCGCTGTCACGGAAACGTCATCGTCGTCTCCCGCTGTCACGGAAACGTCATCGTCGTCTCCCGCTGTCACGGAAAAGTCATCGTCGTCTCCCACGGTCACGGAAACGACATCGTCGTCTCCCGCTGTCACGGAAGCGTCATCGTCGTCTCCCGCGGTCACGGAAACGTCATCGTCTGCTCCCGCGGTCACGGAAACGTCACTGTCGTCTCCTGCGGCCACGGAAACGTCATCTTCATGCGCGATCGCGGCAAAATCACTAACAAATCCCACGGCCGTTTGGACATCATCGTCATCTCCCGCGGTCACGGAAACGTCATCGTCTGCTCCCACCGTCATGGAAACGTCATCGTCTGCTCCCACCGTCATGGAAACGTCATCGTCGTCTCCCGCGGTCACGGAAACGTCATCGTCGTTTCCCGCGTTCACGGAAACGTCATGGTCGTCTTCCGCGGTCACGGAAACGTCTTCGTCGTCTCCCGCTGTCACGGAAGCGTCATCGTCGTCTCCCGCTGTCACGGAAACGTCATCGTCTACTCCCGCGGTCACGGAAACGTCATCGTCTGCTCCCACCGTCATGGAAACGTCATCGTCGTCTCCCGCGGTCACGGAAACGTCATCGTCGTTTCCCGCGTTCACGGAAACGTCATGGTCGTCTTCCGCGGTCACGGAAACGTCTTCGTCGTCTCCCGCTGTCACGGAAGCGTCATCGTCGTCTCCCGCTGTCACGGAAACGTCATCGTCGGCTCCCGCGGTCACGGAAACGTCATCGTCTTCTCCCGCGGTCACGGAAACGTCATCGTCTTCTCCCGCGGTCACAGAAACGTCATTGTCGTCTCCCGCGGTCACGGAAACGTCATCTTCATGCGCGATCGTGGCAAATTGAAAATTCCCTGGTAAAATACGAATTTTACGCATAATTCCCGGTTTTCCCGGTGGGTGGACATGGGCACCCTGTTGAGTTTATAGGCCTAAAACCTTAAGAATTGTTTTGGGAAGTATAACAGAACAGTGCTTCCCAAGTATTACAGAAAAGCACAATATTATTCATGGAAATAAATAGTTAAAATATTTCAATATTCCCCTTCTTTTATAATGTGAAATGATAAATGGTCTATGTAAGAACTAACTAACTAGTCCCACCAAAACCATGCGTGTCACCAAAAACATTTATTTTAAAAAATATGCTTGAAATTGTTTGGCCACAGCTCAATACAAGCAAAGATGTCCGGTATCTTTTCTATCCAGACTATCTAAGACTTTTTGTAGATAAGAACTACATATTGTAAACCTACAAAAACTATACATTCCACCCCCATATTTAAGTTATCACCAATTATTATAAAATAAAAATCGTAGTTGATGTGAGTCACCGGCAGATTGTGCTGATGTAAAATACTGATTTATGTTGAATAAACAAACGTTTTTACCAAGTCAAACTGATAGAACGACCACCTGTGTCAGCAATCAAATAAGGTGGAAATAAAATTTTAGACACAAGCGCATTCTGTGACTGGCTCACACAACTATGTTCTTTTTCAGTAATAAATTGGCGACAGCTGTTCCATAGAGATTGGATGTCTACTTCAGTATCTATTCATCCAATAGTCAATGCTGTTATCTACCCCCCCAAAAATACAATTTCTCAGGTAACCTAGCTAAACTCTAACTTAAAAAAAATTCCTTTACTCCACTAAAATATATTTGTTACTCCTATGATCTCTCACCTCACAATGTTCCCTATAGATGCTACGGAGAGTATCAACATCCTCTAAGGAGCAGTCTTCTGGAAGAGTGCAGTCCGGAGGGAGTTCTATCTCTGGGAACTCCGGGATAGCGTTGGCTCCGTCCCCCAGAAACTGGTGGTTGTTTGACTGCAACATAACAAACTATTTGGTAAGGACAACCTGTTTGTGTATAAGACTGTACAGGCTACATGTACACAGTTGCAAACACATCTGGCTATAAACTTGACGGTTCAATGACTTATTTGCAATTGAGTTTTTATTGTAGCAGTTATCAATTTTTAGTAAAGAAAAGTGAAAGTTTTGTTCATCCATTAGCGTATGGATCCTTATTTTCTCAATTAAGCAGGTTAAACTTTATTCCTCGTCAAAAAGATCCCTACTCAGAAACTTAAAAGGAAATTAATTTCTGTAATATTCTTTGTGACTTCTTTGTTAATTCTATCCATGAGATAGTGATTTATCATTAAATATCCTCAACTATTTTATAAAATATCAGAACAATAGTTCACCTGTGAGCTGTGATTGGACGAGTGGTTGTGTTCTGTGATACAGTCGTTGCTGGTGTTGCTCTCCGTCTTGTGAATGAGCTTGTACCGCTTATGACCCGGGGTTGACTGGTTCGATACCCGCGACGACAGAGAAGTAGCTTCATCACCCACAGTTGCAGAGTTTAGGGGGGAGTTGGGCTTGACTCGTATACCGTAGTAGTGGTATTTGGAATTACCTCTGAAACAACATTTTTGAAAACTAATTTTAACTAAGAAATTAAGATATATAATAATCTTTCTAAATGCTCTGTACAGGGATATTATTTGGTATTTTGTATGGTATCCATTTCTCATTTGATTTTAGAGCAAAGCAGTGAGTAAAAACTAATGTAGGCTACTATGAAAGTTGAAGGTTTTATTATTGATTCGGAAACACCAACCAATGGTCATCAGCCCATATTGAATTTTCCTGCTATAGTTTTAGGAGTAACAAAGATTATAGAGATATGTAGGGCCCTATGGCCTTTTGGTTGAATAATATTAAACCCAATCGGTTTATTTAGTTCAATGTTTAAGGTTTATTCAAATATTAGGCTACAAATATTAAAATATATTTCTAAACATTTGTAGGACATATTCAAGTACAATCCGTCAAAATATTTCATTTCCGATTACGTTATTGTGGGATTTGATCATAATGTTGCTAATGAACCCATGGGAGATGGGCACTATTTTGATGCAATCACGGAATACATTTTTTTCAAGCTCATACTCCTAATTATAATAACTCAATATTATGCCAAAAGAAACGTATAACCAAACCAGCGCTACAAATTTATACAAGTTAATTACTTCTTAGTGTCTTGTAAACACATAACAGCGTTTGCTGTCAAACAATTACCTCGTGCCGAGCCGTCGTGTGCGCAGACCCAGGAACACACTACGTATCAGTTTGCCAAAGCTGGCCGCATTGACAGGGTCCAGCTTGTTATCATAACAGTGGCGAAGGTAGTGACAGTACATGGTACATCTCGGCAGCGACACGCCTTCTGCAGTCTCGTAGTTCTCCAGCAGCCATTGGACCTGTGGTACATAGAATCTGTGTTAGGTTAGGGATCAATTCAAGTTGATCAATCTAATTCATCTGTGTAGAGTGATATGTTTCTGGGAACCTCACTACTTTGCCACCCTGAGTTGACTATACCTATGGTTGAGGGGGTTATCCCATCCAAGTTATGTTTCAAAGGACTTTTGATTCTGACAAAACATAATTCCATGAACTCAGAATTTCAACAAATAATCTTGCAATTGCACATTGTATAAGCAACAAACATTAGAGTTTCAAGAGCTCAGTATATACTGCTTAACTTGTCCAAGTCAACACTTTACTGAAAAGGTACAGTCTGCACTAGATAACGTAAATGTTTACTGTACTAGTCTCAAAATGTTTAGTGCCAAAAGTTAATCAGCTAATTTGAACCATCCACATTGTTTATGGTTTCACATTATGGTCTGCAAGATAACTAGCTCTTTATCAAAAAAGGAAACGAGTAAAATTCTGTAGGTCTGATTTGTTTTATGATTCAATATGTAACTGTCTTTACCAAATAATATATTAGATGAATGTAAAATGTAAAAGAGTGGTGAATAAAATTAAATTTAAGTGCACGCTTTTTACATAAACACACTGATTTCAAGATACCAACATTTCGTTTTTTTTCTAACATTTTGTGTAGTTTTTTTTTTAAATTATGATGTTGATTGTCATCAACTTCTCGCTAGGATCTCAAATTCACTCAGCTTCACCTTTTTTATAAAAGTAAACTCGCCTCCTTGAATATGTAGTTTATTTTAGAATTTATAAGGTATCCTTGTCCCTCTCAATGTGCTTGACGATTTCCGATTGTACTTACTGGGATAACCATTATTGAGCACCACTTAGAAAAACATAGTAAATATTAAATATATAACAATCCATCAAAAACTGCAACTCATATAGATGAATTAATTAGAAATTCAAGACTATGAAAACTAGTTACTGTAAAAGCAATGTATCTATTACAGAAGTGATAATATTTAAAATTGACTAAATAAACTATGAAGATGTATTTATTTTTGACATTATTACATAACACCTAGCTTACCATTTTTCAGATTCTGGTACACACACACACACATTACTAAACATTGCTTTGACAGAGCTGTTATTTTCTTATTGTGTACACAATTGAAATCAACTACATTAAATCGACAGGTGCAAATTCACATCAGTTTTAACCTCTAGTGTGAATGTATATCTGTTATCTACGTGTGGCGTAAGTTTGTATTTTATAACTTCAACGAGTGGCTATGTAGTATAACAACTGTGCTAGTGATTGTGGGAAAAATCTACATAAACTATTGAATACTTTGACAACAAATAAGCAGATAGTAAATTGTTTACTAATAGGCCTACTTATTCATTGAGAAATTCAGGTTTTTTTGTTATTGGTTGGACTAATCTTTTGATTTTAAAATTTCTAAGAGAAGGTTTTAAATTATGTAGCATAATTTCATTGATGTTTTGTACGAAAAATGAACGGGAAGGTGAATAAGTTGATGGGAAGTTGAATTGGAAGACAACACCAAAGTTGAAAGTGTTACTTACTACTACTTATTTTGCTTTGATGGTAAAACTAGATTTGTTTTCCATGTCCAAAAATATTTGTCTAAATTACAACAAACATAACAAATTAATGCTGTAAGTTTAAGAGCTGATGAACTCAAAATGTAACATATCACAAACAAAGTGAATAAAGACCGGCATATAACCACACAACTAGTAGGTTTTGTACTTACCTACTTAATAGTGGTTTTAAATACTTAGCCCATATAGATTAGTTTAACAAATAACAAAATATAAACTGTTGTGATAACAACATAAAAAAAACACTGAGCAAAGTAAAAATAGTAAAATTTCTGAAAGAGTTGTCCTGGATAACTAAGCCTTTACACACTCTACTATGACTTTTATGAACAGAACCAACTTTTTTACAATTAATTTTGTGTCTTTTTTATTCCTAACATGATATATTACTGTTACTAGATTTTTTAAATACATACTATTTATTATCATTTTCATTTTCAGTGGATTTTCTTAATTTGTAACCACTAAAAATGTAATTGTTGTTTGTCTTGAATAATAAATTTTATTCCAGTATTAGAATTTAATCAAAGTTATACATGTACTTAATTCTTGTAAACAAGGTTAAAAGACCTACAACTTTAGTTTCATCAAGACAGTCTTACAAGGCAGTCTTATTATTTTTAATAAGTCACAAATGACAAGTCTTTCAAAAACATTATTTAGTCTAATTTTTTAACTTTAGTGGTGTTCATTTAAAGGAATTTTCTTATTAAAAAAATATATACTAATAAATATAGGGTAAATTTAAAACATTTTCAAGAGACTGCTAATTAAAAAAAACTGTTTGATTGAAGCAAAAAAAAACTTAAACACTGTATTGTTACTATGTTGAAAGCACACTTAGTACACAAGGCTTTCAGGATATATAGGTGTAAAGCAGTTGGTTAGCAATAGCCATGCAAACAGTCAATAGCAACAACTACAAGACAAGCATTACAAGCACTAAAGGTGAATCTAAAAGATTGGTGCAAGCTAAAGGCATGCTACAATAAACAGGGTGTCTATTACAAACCCACCCATCTTAATCGATGATGTACCGAGAGGAAATCTTAAATCAAATTGATCAGGGTTATTTGAAAAGTAAGGCCCATTTCAAAACTTGAGTGAATCAAAATATCCATGAGTGATGTATCAAAAAAATTTAACAGTGTGCTATTAAGTAGCTGCTGCGCTGTTTGAAGACGAGAAACAACAAAAACGTGACTGTGAGCGCTTGGTTATGAAAAAACAACGGTGACTGGTGTTGCAAAGAGCAACTGTCGTAAGCAACTGCTGGGTTAAATGTGATGGCAATTGAATGTTTTACGATTTCAGGACATTTCTATTTCAACTTGATGAAGGCCAGATGAAAAAATTTATTTTTATTTACAATAGAAACAGGAGAGCACACATTGGAGAGAGGGAACAATAAACTACACGATTGTGTAGTTTACCACCATAAACTACTCTATAGGCTTCTCTGGAATAGACAGAACTGTGCGATTTACTGACTTTGCAGTTTACTGGAGCAGCTGCTTAAAAATCTTCAGGAAAGGATAGGTTTTGTTAGTTGGTTGTTCAGAAGTCACGTCACAACCTATCAAGCGCACAGTTATTCTTTTTAGGTTATTAACACAGAAAATGACTTCACTTTTCAAATAACCACTTTTTAACTCATAAATAAATGTTTTCTCAGAATAATACTACCAAACGACAATATTTGATTTAATAATATCGCAAAGACTAAATGATTTAAATACATTTTTCCAGTCCATTCATATACAATTTATCTATGAAACTCATCTTTTAGACAGTGATTCGTCTATTAGTACATGGCAAAATAACAAGACCAGAGTTTAGGATTATTATGTACAAGGATAGGGATCAGCTAACTTGCCTGGTAGACAGAGTCCAGACTAGCCTTGGTAACACACATAAAACACATAACAGAACACAGAAAAACTTAATATTTCAGCTTCTCCCTTCTGATGAAGTCCCTAACTGGGACGAAACTGTGTTGTTCATATGTTTTATGTGTGTTACCAAGGCTCATCTAGACTTTGTCTACCAGGTAAGCTAGCTGATCTCTATCCGTGTACATAATAATCCTAATCAACCAATTGGCCTTTTCCTTAAGACCAGAGTTTGGAGTTTGGACCATTCTTTTACAACGCCCCCATAGACACCCTGCCTAGTCTACGCTACGGGGCCAGTAGCGTCGGGGACTTACAGTAGCGGGTGATATTCTAGTAGCATGTACCAGGTTGGAGGATCCCTCATTGTCTATGGTAGATGATGAGGAGCTGTTGGCGCCACTGTCCCGACAGCCGGGGCCCGCAGTGGTACCACTGGAGTTGACCAGGTAAGCCACGTCCTACCATCACCAACCAATCATGCACCCGCCACAACCAATGCAACTTACCAGACACTTATCAACATTTACCAACTGTTACAGTTAATACACATGTAGTGACTCAGAAAAAATTTTTGCTTGATTAATGGAAATAATTTTTGCCACACTACATAGTAATAGGAAACAGTTGCTTTCTGTACTTTTTTTAGACCAGAAAGTCATTGTTTACAGGGAGGGACCGATAAAGTCAACTGGAGTACAGTAAATTTACCGGTCAGTGTTGCAATAGGCTACAATGCTATAGCCTGTCATCCAAGCTATCCCCCCCCATCCCCCTATCCAGTTTTTAGACACAGATATTTTTCTTTAGCCTAAAAAAATATTTGTTCTAGTTGAAACTTTGTTGTGTATTTGAGTTATATCGGTTTGACACTTAAGGCTCTAATGACCTCAAATGGGAAACAGACTTTTCTTTTGAAATAGTGCAAATTCCATTACTGTAGCACTAACCAGTCTTTAGACTTTAAATTTTGCACCAAGAACTGTAATAGCCTAAATTAGCCCAAATAGCTAAACAAAAATGGCTGTGTCTCAAAAACAGGATAAGATAAACAAATTTTGGACAATAATTTTGAAGAGCTTAGTTAAAAATTAACAACATACAAAAATATATATTTCAATTAATCAAGCAACATTCCACTAGATCACTCCTTCGACTCTGAGAGAAAATGTTTATGTTTAAAACCGCAGTAGAACATAAAATATGTGTAAAATTAATCTAAGGAAGAAATGTAATTTTAATAGCAGCATATACTTTGAGATGGATTTATCTGGATACTTAGGATATTTATAGATAGGATACTATACAGGGTGTCCCGGAACTCTTTACCAATATTTTAGGGCATTGTTCCTGAGTAAGAAATATATCTAAATATCATATTTAAATTGTCCGGAAGTCCTTAGTTATTCACAAAGTTGCCATTTTGTTTTTTATTTTTCTTTCTAAAAAGTGGTTAACTGGTGAATGATACAAAATTGAATCTTTGCAAATTTTTATGACATTTATGACAATTTTTAAAATTTATGAAAAAATGATGATTATTTCAAAATTTTTTAAAATCAACGGTTTTTGAGTTATTTAAGAACAAAATTTAAAATAGCCAACATTTTGTTGTTTCAATTTGTAAAATTGTCATAATTTTTTTAGCTTTCCCTAGTTGTCATAAATGTTTGTACAAAGCTACAATTTTGTATCTTTAACTAGATTTGAGGAAAAAGTCAATAAGTGAAACAAAAAATGGCCGCTGTGTGAGTAACTAAGGACTTCTGACAATTTAAATATGATCTTTGGATACGTTTCTTACTCAGGAACAATGCCTTAAAATATTGGTAGAGAGTTCCGGGACACCCTGTAGATAGGATACTCCAGCTAAAGTCTAAGACGAGGAACATAAGGAAATTGGAGTTTTTGATTATATTTAGAATAAAAAAAAAGTTATAGAGCTTGGGAATCCAAGATATTAAAGGTTGATGACATAGGGTATCAAGAAAAAATTTAGTTAAGTTTAAATGTAAATTGGACAATATAAGAAACTCAAAGAAATGAAAAAATAGATTATACTAGACTCCCAGTAATTTAGTCATGCGCTAATCTAACACCTCTAAAATTGCTGTATTTCAGCCACAACTGTAAGATTATTCAATAGTTTATAGTATGATACATGCATACATTAAAATTATTAGAATGAGAAAGTAAACCTAAATGACAAACAAATAAGTTACACTATATTAGTCTAGCTACACCAAACTGAATTCATTTTTTTTCCTTTTTTTACTATTTGTAAAAAAAACTTGTTGAAGAAAAACTTTAATGAGCACTGTAGAGATGAACTGTTTAATGTAGCTGAGTTCTTTACATAAATGATATACTTGATTTTAGTATCAATATATCTAAAACTCCAATACCCATACCCAATTAAGAGTTAGTATCTGCTAGTAAAGCATTTCAGCTCCTTGTAAGCAATGTACATGCAGTTAGGACAGGACTAACAGGTTCATCTAGATATATTGATGTCAATGTTGTTACTTGACAGTTTCCATTATTAATTCAATGTTTTGATGTTTATTTGTTTTCACGTCCAGTGCCTTTGGATGACTGAAATCTGTCATCGCATGCTGATTGGTTCCTGGAATCTGGAACCCAATTTCAGCTGTCTCTAGTAGACATTTCTGAATTTCGATATGACTAATCAAAGTCATTTTAAACTTAATTGAGGTATAATTAATAATATACATAGTCTCTGTGAAATCTTGAAAAGTAGGGCACTCTTGACATTGTGGATTGCTAAATTCTTCCACTGTCACACAGAGTTTGTAAAAGCGAGTCGAACGCTCGTACCGCCCAGTGAATGCTGGAATCTCGTAATGAACACGTTCCACGCAAATCACATTTACTGTTGTCTCATGGTGGTCTTCGGACCTATCCATGACTGAAGAGACTAAAATAAAGTCGAAACAACAGAGCACACTTCTAATCCTGAAAGATGGATTAGTCGTATTGGACATAGCGCAGGCTCAATCAAATTTCGAATCTACAAACCACACACGAACATGGATCGTACACACCCGAGACGGTACGTGTGACAATCTCAATGCTCGGAGAGGTTGAGATTTTGGTTTTGTAATTTGAAAGAACATTCAAACGAATGTAATTGAAAATTGGCAAGGGATTCGTCCCATTTACCTTCAAAAAGATTAACCTGTAATGAAGCGCTTGTCTTATCCCCTCACAATAACGCGTAACCGGGTTTTAGACGTAGGGCAGATGCTGATCTTAATTGCAGCTATCAACCACGAAAGCTATATGCTGTGGGAACCCTCACGATCGCCGGATAGGCAGATGCCGCCCACACGAATTGTGTAGAAGAGCCTAAACGTGCTACTGTTTGATGATATCAGTGATTCTAAATTGCAGTCTGATTGAGAAGACTGACCAGCTCCGCTGGATTTGCAACTACATCACCTGTCACAATCACTTTAACCAATTAATAATTTTGAGTGACTTGTAACATTAGGTGCAAGTGTTTGGCTTCGCAACCTTCTAAAATTCTAAATTAATTTTGCAGGTTAGATGTATTGGTCACGAAACTCGTTCTTGGGGTTATACGTGCGAAAAGACGCCCTAGTGGCGGAATCACTCTTGCAACGTAAAAGGTGCGATTATACGCATAACGATATCATCTGTTTCGGTCTCAGGGCTAGATAGCCCATACCTCATCAGGTGCACACTTTAGTGCACGACAGATTGAATTATAATGTGTTAAGGACGGATTAAATTTTTCATCGTCCAACTGAAATTTTGAATTTTGATGTTTCTAAATTTTGAAAAGATGAAATTGTCAACTTAGAGTTGACCAGGCACACCTGAGTATTTACTCATTGTTCTTAAATTATTGTGGACGGACTCATCAATTTTGATGTTTATTTGTTTTCACGTCCAGTGCCTTTGGATGACTGAAATCTGTCATCGCATGCTGATTGGTTCCTGGAATCTGGAACCCAATTTCAGCTGTCTCTAGTAGACATTTCTGAATTTCGATATGACTAATCAAAGTCATTTTAAACTTAATTGAGGTATAATTAATAATATACATAGTCTCTGTGAAATCTTGAAAAGTAGGGCACTCTTGACATTGTGGATTGCTAAATTCTTCCACTGTCACACAGAGTTTGTAAAAGCGAGTCGAACGCTCGTACCGCCCAGTGAATGCTGGAATCTCGTAATGAACACGTTCCACGCAAATCACATTTACTGTTGTCTCATGGTGGTCTTCGGACCTATCCATGACTGAAGAGACTAAAATAAAGTCGAAACAACAGAGCACACTTCTAATCCTGAAAGATGGATTAGTCGTATTGGACATAGCGCAGGCTCAATCAAATTTCGAATCTACAAACCACACACGAACATGGATCGTACACACCCGAGACGGTACGTGTGACAATCTCAATGTTCGGAGAGGTTGAGATTTTGGTTTTGTAATTTGAAAGAACATTCAAACGAATGTAATTGAAAATTGGCAAGGGATTCGTCCCATTTACCTTCAAAAAGATTAACCTGTAATGAAGCGCTTGTCTTATCCCCTCACAATAACGCGTAACCGGGTTTTAGACGTAGGGCAGATGCTGATCTTAATTGCAGCTATCAACCACGAAAGCTATATGCTGTGGGAACCCTCACGATCGCCGGATAGGCAGATGCCGCCCACACGAATTGTGTAGAAGAGCCTAAACGTGCTACTGTTTGATGATATCAGTGATTCTAAATTGCAGTCTGATTGAGAAGACTGACCAGCTCCGCTGGATTTGCAACTACATCACCTGTCACAATCACTTTAACCAATTAATAATTTTGAGTGACTTGTAACATTAGGTGCAAGTGTTTGGCTTCGCAACCTTCTAAAATTCTAAATTAATTTTGCAGGTTAGATGTATTGGTCACGAAACTCGTTCTTGGGGTTATACGTGCGAAAAGACGCCCTAGTGGCGGAATCACTCTTGCAACGTAAAAGGTGCGATTATACGCATAACGATATCATCTGTTTCGGTCTCAGGGCTAGATAGCCCATACCTCATCAGGTGCACACTTTAGTGCACGACAGATTGAATTATAATGTGTTAAGGACGGATTAAATTTTTCATCGTCCAACTGAAATTTTGAATTTTGATGTTTCTAAATTTTGAAAAGATGAAATTGTCAACTTAGAGTTGACCAGGCACACCTGAGTATTTACTCATTGTTCTTAAATTATTGTGGACGGACTCATCAATTTTGATGTTTATTTGTTTTCACGTCCAGTGCCTTTGGATGACTGAAATCTGTCATCGCATGCTGATTGGTTCCTGGAATCTGGAACCCAATTTCAGCTGTCTCTAGTAGACATTTCTGAATTTCGATATGACTAATCAAAGTCATTTTAAACTTAATTGAGGTATAATTAATAATATACATAGTCTCTGTG